CTTCTTAATATGTTAAGAAGTGCCATTTCGGTCTCTTATCTCTACTTCAACTTGTCGTCTTAGGTGCTAAAGTCAGAGCAGAAATTTATGAAGCATTTGAAAACATCTACCCTATTCTAAAGGGATTCAGGAAGACGACGTAATGGCTGTCATGTACCCTTGCCTCCCCCACCCACTTTTTTTTTTTTTTAAACAAATCAGTTTGTTTTGGTACCTTTAACTGGTGGTGGTGTGAGAAGATGGATGTTGAGTTGCAGGTTGCGGCACCAGGTGATGCCCTTCTGTAAGTGCCCACCGCGGAATGCCGGGAAGGGGCATTATTTGTGCACTGAGAACACCGCGCAGCGTGACTGTGAGTTGCTCATACTGTGCTGCTATCTGGGCAGCGCTGCCCATTTATTTATATGTAGATTTTAAACACTGCTGTTGACAAGTTGGTTTGAGGGAGAAAACTCTTAAGAGTGAAAGCCACCTCTACAATTGATTGGACTTTTTAATTTTAATGTTTTTCCCCATGAACCACAGTTTTTATATTTCTACCAGAAAAGTAAAAATCTTTTTTAAAAGTGTTGTTTTTCTAATTTGTAACTCCTAGGGGTTATTTCTGTGCCAGACACATTCCGCCTCTCCAGTATTGCAGGACAGAATACATGTGTTAATGAAAATGAATGGCTGTACATATTTTTTCTTTCTTCAGAGTACTCTGTACAATAAATGCAGTTTATAAAAGTGTTAGATTGTTGTTATGATACCTTGTAAGAGTCATGTGATCATACTGTTTTCTAAAAAGTTGTATTTTAGATATAATGCCTGAAACCATTTTGGTGTCTGCTTGTTTGTTTCAGTCAATATTTCATTACATGCTTCAGTGAAAGCAAATTAATGATCAGAACTCACAGTTGCTCAGGAAACGTGTATTTATTACCTTCTATATATTGAGCAACTCCTGTTTTCTAGGCACTTTCCCTGTGGTGCCTGGAATCCTCCTGGAGCTGCAGTCGGGTTTTGTTCCTCTGTTGGAGACAATGGCCCCGCTGAGGGGCTTGGCTGAGGTCACACAGTTAGTAAGTGGTAAAAATTAGTGGGTCCTTCAGGTGTAGAAGCTGATGCCCTCTCCACAGGCTGCCAACTCTCTGCAGTAACTTTTTTTTGCTTGTTTTGCAGTTTTTTTCTCATGGAATATCAGGTGGACATTTGTGGGTTCTTAGGTTTCATTGTTAGGGTGGTTTTTTTTTTTTTTTTTTTTTAATTGTAAAAGTACATCTTCAGGTGACTCAGGAATAAAATCAGAAAGGGGAGGTCCTTCCTTCCTTTCTCTTCTGCCTCTTTCCCCAAGATAATGACCAGATTAGTGGGTATCTTCTAAGCCCATTCTGTCTATCCTCTGGGCATGGCATTTGATCCCATTTTTGGAAAAAAATGATAGAATACATTCAATTGTAGAGCTTTCCCTTTTTTCAGTCAATATATCATAAACCTATTTCCATGATTGGGAATCTAGGATGCTCTTGTTAGGTACCTTCACTTACTGAGCTATTCCTGTAATTACAGTCATTGACATGCCCTCCAGTTTTCCAGTATCATAAACAGCGCTGCAGGGACATCCTTGTATGTGTGTTTTTTGGAGAGTGCAGGTGTTCACGTAGTAAACTTTCCTGGCAGAAGAACTAGACTACACATTGTAAGTTTTAATCAGTTGATACCAGATTGCAGTCCAAAGAGAACGGCGTATGAAATGCCCTTTTCTTGCGTTTCCCAGTCATTAGTGATGCCAATAATGTATGGATTAACTGGAAAGGCATCATTCCAATATTATCTCCTATCTAAGAAAGAAGTATCCCTTCGGGTATGTAGGTCTTATGTTCCTCAGTAAAGTTTTACAATCTTTTTCACACAGGGCTTTTATATTTCATAAGTATTACTTCCTTAAGATATTACCATTTCTGTTGTTTTATTACTGGAAGTTTCTCTTAACACTTTAAAATTTATTGTTGATAAATTTTTGTCAAAATTTATTGTTGATAATATTTTTGTTATTCCAAGTTTACTGAACTCCTATTACTGCTGATTTAGTTGATTGCATTGAAAGTTCTAGGCATGTAATCATTTGTAAATAGTAATTCTATGTTTTCCTTTCCAATATTTTTCCTATCAGTGCCTAGGACTTTAATGTATATAACTTAAAAAAAATCATCTCTTATAGTTGTAGCTACATATACAGGAAACCTAACAAATGTATAGCATAATGTATTATTCAAAGGTAGATACCCTTGCAGCCACCAACCAGGTCAAGAAACATAATTTTGCTGCCTGTCCTAGAAGCCCCTCCTTATGGTCCTTCCAGACACACACTCCTGGCTTCCCTCAAGCAGGAACTATTATCCTGACTCTCACGCATTTAAAGATAATTGAAGTTCCTTATCCATTTCTTTTCTTTCCAATTTATAGGCCATTTAGTGTTTAGAGCTTCTCATAGTCTGGGGTTTGCTAGTTGGAAATTCATGGTGTAGTTTCCCTATTCTCTGTATTTCCTGCAAATTGGAAGCTGCCGTGTAATTCCTAGATCTATTAATTCATTAGTGGGTTGCAAAATGACATTTTAGTCATTTCTTTTTCATTTATTAACGTGAATACTTTTATAGAAGGATTATACTCCATATAACAGGATAAATACTTGCTTCTTTCCCTTTTTAAGTTTTCAAGATAAAATGATTTCATATTAATATGTCCAATTCAAAGCTCACAGGGTTTTTATTTAACCAATTCTATATTATATATACTCTTTTTTCTACAATGAGAATTTTATTTCTTAAAGACACAGGGGATGAGGAATTAGAATGTCCCATAATTACTCATTTACTTTACATATTTACTTTATCATTACTTTATCTGTTATATGTGCAATTTTTTTTGAGACATGATCTCACTCTGTTGCCCAGGCTGGAGTGCAGTGGCACAATCATGGCTTGCTGCAGTCAAACTCCTGGGCTCAAGTGATCCACCTCAGCCTCCCAAGTAGCTAGGACTACAGGTGCACATCAACACACCCAGTTCACTGTTTTTACTTTTTGTAGAGACAAAGTCACTCAACTGTTGCCCAAGCTGGTCTTGAACTCCTAGGCTCAAATCATCCTCCCACCTCCACCATAAGATTCTTAAGAGTAACAAAAATACTATCACCAATATGATTGCCAAAAACACTTAAAACTGTTTTTTTTTTGGCTGTACTATCTGAAACTGTCAAAGGATATTTAGTATCTGAAGTAAAAAGGCAAAGCTGAATATGCTGCTCTCTACAGCAGAGGAGAGCTGCTGTGGCTGGACAGTATCTGAACCAAGCAGATCTTAAAACTTTGTAGGTATTGAGAAATGGTGGATGCATGGACAGCACTGTCTGTGGAGCCATGATTACGTAGGTGAGACTTCTCCTTACCTTGTGTTTTAAAATGTCTTCACGTTTCTAAAGGCAACTTGCTTAATGCATTTTTTAATTTAAATTTTTTATATTGTACAGTTTATTTTTAATATAGTTGCTATTTTTTAACACAGATGCCCAGTCGGTGCTGTGACATTTTCTTTCCAGTGATTTGGACCAGTTTGTCTCCCTCTTGATATACCTGTTCCAAACGGAAAGGCCCTGTAAACTTTTAGGATCATCTCTGGAGGTTGACTGGAATAAACACCAATGACAGCTTGGCTGAGTACGCCAAAATACCTGCAAGAATGTCCATATCAAGTAACAGTTTTTACCACAGAAAGACCATAACATGTTTGCTTTAAAAGCCCTTAGCATTCATAACGTACTAACACATTCTGCCTATGCAGAATAATACATAATTTTAGATATGAAGGCCCCACTAGTCCAGGTTTCCTTACGCCACTGTGCTTCCTACAAAGTGTTGTGACCAACTCATCACTAGTTGATGACAACTTACTCCAGTAGCCACAGGCTGACACCATAGTTATAGGTGGTTCTCATTGATTTGGCCATCCCAGGTTCGAAACTAGTACCCTCTAGCTCTTAAGTAGCCTAGTGTCAAACCTCCCCATGGGAGAAACTCCATACTGCAGTTTTCCATATGGTGCTATGTATAACTGCATCTTACACACACAGTTAGTACAAATTGCATATACATACTTATATAATACGGACTACTAGGACAGAAATTTCTAAATTACAAATCAAATAGCCAAATGGACAATTATATTAGCAAGTGACGTTACCTATGAAAACGTGAGGATTTATGGTGGCAATGCATTTCAGTTAACAGAGATGTGTTAGGGGACAATGTGAGCCAATTTAGATTAAGGAAATAAGCCTGAGAAATTGATCAGAATTAGCCGTCAGTATTCAGGCACTGATCAACAGCAATGTGTCTTCAGGGCAGGCATCACTGGTGCTGAGATAACTGGGAATTGTCAAGTGTGAGCTACTAGGGGATGGAAGGAACCTTAGTGTAGTCTTCGGAGCCACTTGCTTAAACAAATATATCAGAAACATAATAGGCCAAGGGTCAGCCCTTTGAAAACTGACTTCAGGGCCTTCCTTTCTTCAGGCTGCTGCCTCCTAGGCCAGACCCTTATCCTGGCTTACATTCCATAAGCCTTGTAAATGCGACAGGGAACATGTGTACAACGCTGACATGGAAAGGGAAGACCATCGCCTTTTGCCTTTCAGTGTCTCATCTGTCAGCAGGGCCACTGGCTGACGAAGATCGGTTCTGAAGGTAGAGCCTCTTCCAGTTCCAGTTCTGTGATCACAAAGCCACTGTTCCTGATCCTGCCAACTGTGACACTGCTGCTTCAGAATTACTGGGTTTCCTGTTTCTCATACTCACCAACCTGAGGTTTGGCATTTTTCTAATGTTCTGGGCTTCCAGTACATACTAGAGCCTGTGATAATCAGCTAATGATCAGACAAGTTTGTTGGAGTTTTACCTAAGTATTTTTCTTTGTGTTTTAAAAAACTTAGGGTGGGAAGTGCTCTCAGAGTGAGATAGTTTGACTTCATTAGGCACATAACCCATTTTTATTATAAAAAGAAATGCACGTATAAGTAAAACGATCATTTTAGTTAGTCCCACCATTCGTTGGTAACCAGTGCACTAAGTGTACATCTTTGCAGATTTCTGTGCATACATACAAATATTTTTACAAGAATAGGATCAAACCACGAATACCACCTATAATGGTATCTTGGTTGTCAATGTAGGTGTTATAATTAAGACTGTGTAGCCTTCCACGGTGGATGTACCAAAATTTATTTAATTCTCTATCAGTGGACACTTTTGTTTCAGTAATATGTAGACACTGTGTAAGCAATCTCTCAACATCTCTGCACCTTTATTTTTGGTATAAGTATTTCCTTAGGATAAAATCTCAGAAATGGAATTGCAAGGTATAAAAGAGCATTAACATTTTTCAAGGCTTTAAGATGCCTTTACGGTGTATCTGTTACATCCTGCTTCCACACAAATTCTTCTGTATAGCCAGTACCCAAGCTGCAGCTCTCAGCACACGTGAAGACAGCCAGGATGCCCCAGTCAATGCTCTTGCCCAGTCTGTCAGCCTTCAGGTAGTTTAGGAGCTGAGGCATGACCTGAGAAGAGGGTGACACACAGTTAGAAAGCCGCTTCACAGCAGGGAGCACTGCTTTTAAGAGACCTTCTCAGCCAGGATGATTATAGGAATCTTGGTCTTTCGATCCTCATACTACAAAGCAGGATTATAGACATTATACAATTAACATGTTTTAACAATCTAAAACTTCCTTATGACTTCAAAGCCCCTCTCACCTTCTGTTTAGTGTTTTCCATTTGAGAAAGAAGTTCACAAGTGGCTGTTAATAAATTATTTTCATTACTGATATGCCACTCAAAAGGGCTGAGGCTTCTATTTAGGCAACTTTTACTTTGTATCATTGCAGATATTGTTACTCTTGACTCAAGAAACACTAATTACTAGTCATGAATACAAAAAGGACATCTGTCAATGTAGTTATAGAGACCAGAGAAGAATCTTAGAAGTAGTCTAATTGAAAGAGTGAATAGGCAGAATAGCCACCATCCTGTCACCTCATTTTGGACCCTGAGAGCTCTGGCACTAAGAACCAAGCAGAGTTTTGCTTATGGTCCTCATAATTCCTTTTTTACCCAAAGAAACAAACCAATACTAGCTATGACTTTGGGAAGATTAGTAAATCCATAGCTCAAGAGCATTTCCACCCAAAATGGATTTTGGTATTTTGATGCTAACAGATCCTTTTGGGCAGGGGGGCACATTTATCTTTAATGCTTATATCCATTTGTTCTAACAAATCCACAAACCCAGATTAAACAGTAAAGACTCCTCTCATAAAGTATGGAGTCAAAGACTTCAATTAATGGAACAAGGAAGGTATAAATTATTTAAAATAACAAAAGTTAACAGAGGCACTAACAATAATGACGTAACCACACTGGAGGTGAGACAGTGTAGATACACTCATCTTCACAGAAGTCAGTCAACAGACAGTGTCTGAAAACTAGGAAACAGAAAAAGACAAGACAGTTCCTTCCAGGGAACTAGCCCCAAGGTGAGGCAGGAAACTGACGGTTTTCATCATAAGCCACCCTTCCGTACTGCCATTGGACCCATGTGCACAAATTACCTTGGCGTAGTTTTTAATGTTTAAAACAATCATGGTGATTACACACTAAAATCGTCCTTATTTAGGTCATACCTGGAATTCCAATATTCTCTTGGCACCACAGGGGCAATCTGGAATATCCTTTTCTTGAGGAATATTTTCACCAGAAATCCAGATGGGGGCAATACCTCTGCCATATCTAAGAATCTAAAATCAATGAGGATCATGTTCAAATAATCAATACCTTACCTAAAAGTTTCCAATGGTAACATGCTATCTACTCCATGAATGTTCCTACTCTTGATGTAGCACTGACCCAAAAGGCATGTCACAGTTCCTCCATCAGACCTGGCTGTGCCAGTGTGCCATTAATGCCTTCTCAATACCCCCAAAGTGACTATTTCAGCTTATCTGACTCAGAGGGCATCAAAATATATTTCCTAGATGATGCTTTTACTACCTAATGTTGGAATGTTAGTCCTACGAATATATTGTGAAGGGACTAAGAATGAGCCTCTGCTCTGATTGCAGAGTTCTGCCCAGAGTCTGTCCCTGCCTTCATAGTTAAAAAATTTTAGGAGGGACAAATACCAAGTGAAACAGTGTTTTGAAAACTACTACAAACATAAGTAAAATTTCACTGTAATAAGCTTCCTACAGCAACTGAGTAGTTTTCTGTATTTTGTCTAAAAGCATATGCATTGCTAAAAACTGCCTTAGTGTTTAAGACCTAGATCTATTCTTCCTATAAACCCCTGGGTATTTATTTGAACCAGTGACTGGTTTATGGGTTTTTCCTTTGTGATTTACATTTATGGTAGGGGAGGTTAAGGAGAAAATGTTAACATGCCACATTTGTTTTACAAGCCAAAGGTACCTGTTGGAAATGGGCAAAAATCACCTTTTTTCTTTTTGTGGGGGGGGGCCATTTGTGCCTAAACCTCATGTACCTCAGGCAACATCTCATTCATCTCCCATCCCTGATGCTTTCTTTAGAAAATGAACCCTGTATGATAAACAGTATAACCTTTAGTCTTTTAGTAACTATTAAATGGATCAGCACTGCAAAACACCTTTCTACATGGCCCATCTGTGTGAGAAACTCCTGTAACAAGATAACAAAAGCCTGCTTTTATAGACTCCTAAGGAACCAGACTAGTGTTACTATGAAGTTATTTCTTCTCACAGATTATACTCATAAAACATGGCCTGAAGAGAACACAGTGAGGAGCTGTGAGTTCCACTTTACCTGTTCTGGTTCAAGGGCTATCTGAGTTTTAAACTTCTGAAAAATTGTATCTTCCCTGGATTCATGTTTTGCCATGGAATCCAGTTCTTCCTCAAGTGCTTCACCTGAAAAATCAATGTAACTATTACGAAAACAGGAGTAATCCCCACAACTTGTCAATTCACACCTGGAGAGGGGACCCCCTTTTAATCAGATAGCTTTCTCTATTTATTCGCTCATTCAAGTTGGACCATCTGAATTTCCAGGTACTCCATGCAGCTCTATTATATGGGCTTCCATTTAGTGCATTTCCTTAAAGCTTCAAAATAACAGAATGGTCAAGGGCTTAGGACTGCCCAGCACATCACGGGACACCCAACAAATGTGAGCCCTTCTTATCATTAGTATCCTCAGCTGGTAGGCTCACTCACTCAGTCATCAAATGTTCATTTCCAGCCCATTTCTGGCCTGGTGCAGTGGCTCACGCCTGTAATCCCAGTACTCTGGGAGGCTGATGTGGGCACATCACCTGAGGTCAGGAGTTCAAGACCAGCCTGGTCAACATGGTGAAACCCCGTCTCTACTAAAAATATAAAAACTAGCCAGGCGTGGTGGTAGGTGCCTGTAATCCCAGCTACTCGGAAGGCTGAGGCAGGAGAGTCGCTTGAACCCAGGAGGCAGAGGTTGCAGTGAACCGAGATGGTGCCACTACACTCCAGCCTGGGCGACAGAGTGAGACTCTGTCCTAAAAAAAAAAAAATGTTCATTTCCTTCTCCACATTTCTTCCTGGGATTACAGCCACCCTGAGCCACTGCTGTCCCCAACAGACCCATGTCTCTAAGTATAACCATTAGTCTTTGTAATGTACATTAAAATAGAACTGATATACCTTGAGTAAGAGAAGCTAAAGTAACTGATGAAACTGGAAAGACACTGATGGTGTTCACTTGCACCATCAGGTCTGATGGAGGAAGTGTAGGATGCCTTCAGATTGATGTTCCATCAATTATACGAGGAAAGTTCCAGTGTAATCATTAGGACACTGTAAACGCTGTTCCCTCAGGCCCTACTGCCTCCTGCCAAACTCTTTCATCTGGGAACTCAAATTCAAGTCTCAGGTAAAACACAGCTACCTCCAGGAAGCATTTTTCTTTTTAATTCTCCTTTTATTTTGGAACATTTTGAACATACACAAAAGTGGAAATACTATAATGAACCGCCATGTACCATTAATCAGCTTCAACACTTATCAAGTCCAGTGTTTCCTTTCTCTGCCACTTCCAACTCCATCATTACTCTGAAGTAAATCCCACACATACCACTTTATTCATAATTTATGTGCCCCTAGAACTCAAACTCTTTCCTTTTATTTACCAATTTGAAAATAAGTCTGTTCCTAAGTATCCTACAAAGATGATTACTGAGTTTTTTAAAAGTATCATTTTGAACCCGTTAAACATATCTGATGCAGTTAGTGTTCTTGTAGATGTTCAAACTGTCCATCTTTTGCCAGCAGGAGCCTTTTCATGTTGCTTGAGTTCTGACATGGCCCTAGTAATCCTTCCTGGCATCCTTAATCTTTGATATGACCACGTTCCCACATTATATGAACATTTCCTGACCCAGTTCTGGAACCAACCACCTCTCCAAAGAGCCTGGAGTTCCTTTTAGAGAGAAATGGTACATAGACACAATCAACATTATCTTCCTCCTACGCCCAGCACCTCAGTTTTCAGTAACACCAACATAATTACTCATTTCCTTTATCCCCCCAATATACACACAACCATCTCAAAATAAGAGCAACAGTTTATTAATAACATGTTTATTGAAAATACTAACACTGTTACGTTCTTTTCATTCTCAGGGTATATTCCACTAGAGATGTACTGTCCTATGTGTTGAAGTCACCTAGAAGAGTTCTTAGTGTGGTTATATGACTACATCAAGAGTTTTTTACTTGTGATGATTAGGGACTGCTTTTTAACTTACCTTACTTCATAATCTTAAAATACACAGTTCCACAGTCACATTTATACTAATAAGGCATATTTGAAGTCCAGCTTTCATCCTTGATCCTCCTACTCTAGGCTCTGCCTTCTCCTAAAGGTAAGCATTTTCATGATCGTTTTTATCGTACAGGTATGAACACACGTGTGGTCCCTTCCAGGCAGTCTTCAGTGATGTCACATGTGTTCTGATGGCACCAGTATTATACTCTTATCAGTCATTACATGGAATGTAACTTCCCCAAGTATTATTTGGGATCCTCCATGAGACTGTGAGCATCTGACCACTGGAGTGTTGCTTCCCATTATATCCCTATTATCAAGCACAAGGTCAGGCACAGAGTAAGACTCAAACATGTTTTGGAATGTAGGACTGGTATTAACTACAAACCAGTAAGCTAATGTTTTCATTTTGAGTCTATAAATCTAATTTTGTGGTGGTTTTGTGTATGGCTCAAGGCTCAAATTGTAAAATTTAACATTATGTGACCAAAGCAAGTTATACCCAGAACCTCAATTTCCTCACCTTCAAAATGGGGCAGTTTCTGACTTACTGGTCTGCTGTCAGGATTTTAATGAGCTCATGCACAAACAGTATGTAAGGTAAGTGCTGGATAAATGTTGGCTACTATAATAAAATAAACCTCTAAGATACTTGGTCAGCACAAGTACTACCCGAGTATGCACTGTAAGTAAACTGACAAAATTGTGTATCTAAAACTGGCCAGATGAAAGAGAAACTTTTAAGGGGCCCTTCCGCATGCCCGACACTGTGCTAGGCACTCACACTATCCCAACCTGAGAAACAGATCTGGGACCCAGAGGAACTTACCAAGCTTCCAGCGCCTTGTGCAGCCCTATTTATGTGACCATCTGGATACCCACCCTTGTCTTTACGGGGAGCGGAACACACCTCATAGGTGTCAGAAAACACAGTCCGGGAAGTATATTTTCAGCTGAGGTACCTCTCTTCTAGACATGCTGAGCTTTCTTCCAAGCATTATGTTTAACCACTTAATGGATGAAGTCCTCAAACTGCTTACCCATGCTCCCTGTAATCTCTGAGTAATCTTCCTTTTCCACAACCTCAGGCATAATCTCCTCTTCTGTTTCTATTACAATTTCAAATTCTGGAAAAAGGAAGTTGTGGTCTGGAATTATATGGTCGAAATGATCTGAAACGAAAGGGACAGCACTATTAGTAATCATTTAGTTTTGAAGACAGTTTAATAATTGGCTGTCTCTAAAGTACTATATTCCCTATAGTTCTGGCATTTTAGATAAAGGGTCATAAATTAAATGCCCATATGGTGACATTACCCAGTGATTCAGACTTTACAGCCTCTTTTTTACAAAGGTGTTCCACATATGAAAAATTCTGAAGTACTATACCTTCCCTAATTTTAACTTTAAAGTTATTCTGGAAATATTTGGGTTGACAAAGGCGATGAAAGTGAACTGAGATTTTTAAAAAAAGATTACTCACCTGGTTGTGCACAAGTCTGCTTATGTCCCAATCTCCAGTCTAGGGTCTGATGCTCCTTGCTGCAGTAATATGCTTTGTGGCATCTGGAGCACGTTTTGGGGCCTAAACAGCCACAAACCCTGCAGAGATGAGCACCAGACTTAAGCTGGAGACACACTGATTCTCCTGTTTCTGGGGGAGGATTCTCAGAAGGTGGCTCATATGAGTAAAAATCGTTTTTCCTGGGTAGCTGATTCCTAAAAACTAAAAGAGAATGCAGAGAAAAGTTGTATCTTCAAACAAAACAGCAATTCAAATATTTCATCCTCTACACATAAAACTGAAAATACTTTTTTAAAAAATGAAAGTTTTTGCTTTCAGGAATAAGCTTTTAAAATCCCGAAACTAGATTTCGTCTGGTACACGCAATTGAGTTGCCTCCTGGAGCTAGTCTGAGTTAATCAAATTAGTAAGACTGATCGTTAAGAACGACTGCCAAAAATACGAAAAAGCTACTGGGACCCATCTTTCCAAGACAATTTCTATTATCTGCATAGCACCATACCTAGCACCCACTGATTAAAAGCTGGGGGCTACCGATGCGCATGGGCAGTTAGAAGCTTGTGTAGTAAAAATGAGGACATCCTGGAAGGGCCCGGGAGAAGGTGCTCCTGGGGAAGCGCGGGGGAGGGAGCTCGAGGATGGGGCGGCAGCGGTGCTTTCCGCCGTCTCCCTCCTGGCTCCCGGAATTAACCCGCACGCGTGGGAGGCATGGCCCCGTCTAGACCCCGTCTGGCGGCTCACCTCGCAGGCCGGCACAGCACGGCGGCTCGCGGCAGCAGAAGAGGAAGATGC